GGAAGCTGCCCAAAATGAGCACTTTGGGCAGTTGACATCCACTTCCTTACCTTTGCTCTGGGAAAGTAAGAGGGGGTGGGGGGTTCAGTGCATCTTCCTGGGAGGAGGCCAAGCTGAACATGCTAAGCCTGCCTACAGTCCCCCACCCCTGCTTAATCTGGTGCTCATGGGGACCACGCCAGGCAGAGACAGGGGAGCAAGCTGGTGTCTGCCACATGCCCCTCCCCAAGGCCTGAGTCAGGCTTGGGAAGGGAGTGTAGGGCAAGGAAAGGGGTTCAGTCTGGGCTGCTCACCACCAGCATCTAAGCCCTGATGACGTCTACTTCCCCATACTTAGGGCATTTTTCCTTCCAGGGAAAACTAAAAAAAAAAGTTCTTGTGGGCATCGTTAGAGTGGGGGTCTTCTTGAGAGGTGCCCTGATGTCACCGTCAATGAGCATGCTCATGGAACACATGAAGAGGATGTCGTGGACATCTGTTTCTGGTCCAGGTGTCCACACATGCAGCAGAAGGTTAACAGGAGAACATAAGGCTCCCCACAGGAGTTACATGGGAGTGAGAAGGATCAGGATTCAAAGGCCTCTACAAATTCAGACCTGATGCTCTTCATTGTAGTGCTACCTTCATACCCTTTGGCAATATGTTTGCTGGACAGGACTCCCTTAGGAGTACATCAGAAAAGGGCAGCTTTCTCAAGTTGTGCTGGAAATGCTGTGTCATGCTGTCAATGTTCGTTAACTTCACATACACACACCACTTATTGGTATGGTTTGTCTTATTTATCTTTAGAATTTCAGGGGTTCTTTTTGAATTTAAACAGTGTTCAGTCTCTGAATATTCTTGCTGCAACATTATTATTATTTCATTTCTATACCACCCCTCAGTTGAAGCAATAAATAGGAAGAAGGGTCTGCAGAAGGGCTATAAGTGCTGCGGCATACCCTCTATGTGCAGAGCATATAGGTTAAATCCCTAGCATCTTCAGCTGGGGCTGGGAAGTCCTTCTGCGAGAGGGCCTGGAAAGCCACCATCAGTGGCTTACCCACCAGTACTAGGCTACTTTAACCAATAGTATGAGACCTGGTACAAAACAGCTTCCTAAATTCTCAAGTATAGATGCACGGACTGCATTCGCACAACACACAAAGCCACTAGGGGGCAGAGGAGTGTGGTTTACCATGCCATCTGAAGCCCCCCTACTGCCAGGCCACTTGGTGTAGCCATGTCCTGTTATTAGGGTTAGGAAACTCACCACGGGCTAGTCTACCACCCAGAGTCAGGTGACCCACTAGGCCATGGTCGAGCTGAAAGGATATGAAGCCCCTTGGCCATAGTGGCAAGAAAGAGCTCCCACCATGGCCAAGATGCCCTAGATGGTGACAGCCGGCAAAGTGCCCAAGCAGTACTTTGTGTGGCTCTCAGCAGCTTCCCTTGCAAGCAATCAGTTCTCCAATGCCAGGATCAGCAGGAACACGGAGTGAAGCCAACAGGATGCACTGCATGCCATTCACTTAAGCCCCATTCGGGGCATGGGAAGGCAAAACATGGTGGGGTGATCGGGTTGGAGTACACCCTCTTCTGCTGTAGTCTTTTTGCCGAAGGCAGTGGCAGCTGAGAACAAACCTTTGTGCTTGTCTTCCTCCCAAGGAAGGCAGAATGATTTGGCACCCCTGCCCCTTTCCTTGCCACCTGCCTGTTACATCTCTTCCTTCCCAAGCCATGCACAGGACTTGGGAAGGAAAAGGCTTGGAGGGCAGGTGGGAGGAGGTTGTTTTTCCCCTTGTCCTTCTCTCAGGGAGATGTGGGGAGCATCTTTCCACCACTGCACTGAGTAGTTGGTTGGGGAAAGAAGAGGTACATTATCCTGTAGTTTCTGTCCCATTATTTCCTTTCTTTGGGGGATGCTAGGAACTGTAGTCTAATGCATCTGGAAGCTACCAGGTTGGAAGAGGTTGGAATATATTATGTAAACTAAACTGGCCTATGCAAATACACTTAATGCGCATTGATAATGGCTGCAATATCCCTCCATTTTCAGTGCAGAATGTGGCTTTACTTTAAAACAGAATGGTGGAGTAAAAAGGGGTTTATCCAAAGCAACAGGGTAGGTAAGAGCTGTGAAATGTTGGGAAGGTCGATCTGTCCTGTTTCTGTTAGTCATCACTATGGGGCAAAAAGCTATGCATAGAACTGAAAGCTTGCCCAGCCCTGCAGGCATCCTGAGGAGCACCCTGCTTCTCCCCCAGCTCCATTACCAGCTGTGCTTTTCAAGGTTCAGAGGGCATTGCCAGCATCCTTTCGGAATTTAGCTCTGTTGTGTCAGGGGTAGAAATTTGTTTTCTGAAAGGAGAAAACAAAGTTACATGGGATTCTAGAAGATGTATCAAATGTTTTGTTTGTGTAGCACAATGGTGACATCACATGGCAACCACACAGTCCTGGACATAGTCTGCTTTCTTTTATATTTAGGCACCTGGTTGCAAGCAAAAATAGTTACCTGAATCTAGTGATACAAGGACATGACAGCATGTGGAATTCACCTGTACCCACACTGAGTGCTTGGAATGTTGTTTAAGCAGATCCACACAGAGTTTATTTATTTTATTTTTGGGGGAGATATTGGGGTGTGGGGAGTTGGAAAAAGAAATGCAGTGGGTTCTGGCCAGACATACTCATGCCTGGAGCATGAGTCACATACTTAAAGTCACAACTAACTTAAGTTCCATTGATCACTGAGTCTGCTCTAAGTACAAGTAAGCCTGGACCCATTCCAGTTGCTCATTAATAGTCAATAGAACATATTATTTGAAAAAAGGCTGCATGCTTAGGTGCCTAAGCAGTTTGATTAATCAGTAACAAGTTTTTCATTAATTACTTATTAACTGAACAGTACTGAACCATTGGGAGCAATTTGTAAAAAAAAGTTTGATTAAAAATGTCACCTGCATTTTTGTAAGGATGATTATTAAAGATCTGACAAAAAAGCAGCTGGTAGGTGCCTTATTAAACAGAGCATTCTTTTTATGGGGGCTTCTAAACTGCCCATTCCCAAGAAGAGGCAGACTTTTCCATTTCTTCTTAGGAGGGAATACCTCTAAGGAGCTGCCTTTTGCAAGCATAATGGTCAGGGATGATGGGAGCTGCAGTGAATTGCAGATCCCATCAACCCTAAGCAGCATGGAACTCTAGTTCAAAACATCTGGACAGGATCAGGTTGGGAAGGTTAACTGTAACCTATGCATATAGCATCTAACATAGAATTATATGCAGGTTTAATCAACTGAATGTCAAGTCTTCAATTAATCCACAAAGATTTTTTTACAGAACAAAGTCAAGGAAGTTATTCCCATCACCTCAAATATTCATTAGTTACGAGAGATAGTTGTATGCAACTTCTCATTTGAAGCAAATACCTCTGGATTCGCGAGAGGTGATTCTTCTAGGGATAACTGAACCTCTGAACACACAATCTTTCCCAGCATGTTTCCTTGACACACATATACCTCACATGCACTGAGGAGACAAACTAGGAAAGAATTATGCTTTCAGATAATTCTGCCAGTCTAATATTAAGCCCACAAAAACCAAGGAAAATAAGTGTTCAGTTAGCATTTAACCCCCTTGTTATTTTCTGTTAAGTGACATACCAGATGCGGAAATGTAACTAACCACACAGGCATGCGCGCGCGCACGCACACACGCACACACTTGCGCGCGCGCGCGCGCACACACACACACGGGTGAATTAAGGACAGGGGGTTTGGGTGATGAGGGGCCAAGGGAGGTAGATACACACGGGCTTAATGGCATAGTTTGTGGTGGGGGGACATATTTTCATCTTTAGTACCCTACATAGGTGGGTCAAACTGGGGGTCAGGGGAGGTCTGCAAGAGCAGCTTTCCCGGCGGTCATCAGTACCTCCTCCCCAGCTTCCACCGACGGCTCACTCGCCGCTGCCATGGCAGGACACTCGTCTTCTGTCTGCCTGCGAGGTCACCGCGTGGTCCACGCCTTGGCCTCACCGGAGCCTCGTTTTCAGGAGAGAAAACGAGCTGCTCCCGGTGACCTCTCCTGTTTTTAGAAGCTGCTCGTAAACATTCAGGCAGGCTGGAGAAACTGAGCGCTTGAAGTGGTGTCCCTGCTAAAGAATTTTGGCCCGGAGAAAAGGGCCGAGGTTTCGTAACATTTGGGAGGAAGTTCTCGGAAAAACAAAAACACACGCACACTCTCACTCTCTGTAATCCACTCGCAGCAACTGGTCTAGAAGAACCCACCCACCAGAGGGTGTCCGTGCCAAGTGCGCGGCGGCGGCGGCGGCGACCCTGAAGATGGAGAGTAGAGGGAGACCCGCGCGCACACGCTCTTTGGAATCAAATAGCCACATTAGCCAGCGCCGAGTCCCGCAGCGATCGGTTCGTGGTCGGATTTTCAACTACAGCGTTTGCTACACTTGCCCATGTTCGTCAAATTGATCCTGTTTATCTGATTGTCAGCCAAGAAGAATTTACGCAGGAGAAAAAAGCAACTAGCAAGCTGTTAGTATATGATGGCATATCGATGCTGATACTTCAAAAGAATGCCAAAAAGAAAAGAAAAAAGAGGAAACATTATGTTTCAAATTCTTGCAGCGTAATTTATACATTCGAGGCAGGAAAAGTCGAAAATTGCTCCCCCTTCCTCTTCTACCATTCCGAAGGTTTTGATAGTCGAACTTTGCTTGACAAAGTTCTACTTGAACTGATCATTTGAAGGTGGTTATTACACAGGCAGCGATCATCTTTGGTAGCAGTTTGCTTGTTACTCAAGCCTGTCGCATGTAATTCTGCCTTTTGCCTGCCTTCATAAAATGATAGCCCAAGATCGCTTGAATGGATTGATCAGGTGAGTTTGCTTAATTAGCCTGCATGCTCCTCCCCATTTGGGGGTGGGGGTCAGAGAGGATCAACAAAAATATATTCCAAAAAAGAAAATGTGGGTTCTTCTAAACCCACATAGGTTACGTGAGGCGAGAGAGTCCCTTTGCTACGAGTACAGCGGTTGGCAGATTACTGAATCACAGATGCGATCCGCTCCGGGGCATCCCTGAGTATTGCTCTGAGTCTTTGGAGTGGGCTAGCGCCGGAGGAACCGAAGAGATCTGGGATGCATTGGGAAGAAAAACAGCCCGTGGAATTTTGCTCTGCGTTACTTCAGCTATCAGCCCTGTATTTCCGCGCAGAGAGACAGGGAGGGAGCTCGAGACTTCGGACTACCCTCGGGCAGTTGATTGCTGATGGAAGGGGCGGAGTTATTTACGCACAGGAGGAGATAAGCGGCCAATCGGAAGGCGCCATGGGTACCGCTGCTACAGACAGGCGAGCACCAGGACCAGTAGGCATCGGGAGGAGGAGCTTCGCCAAGGGGACTCGCGGCCAACGCCGGTAGCTCGTGTCATTCCCGGTTGGGTAACGCGGCGGCAGCTGCAGAGGTGGACGTTCGTGGCGGCAAGGGCAGGTACCCGGCATTGGCTTGCGGGTTGGGTGCTTCCTGGCTTTGTAAACAGAGGGATAGAGCGCGAGGGAGAAAGGCGCGCTTTTTCCTTCCTCAGACGGGGACCGCCAACCGCGCCTTGCTCTGCTTTCTTCAGCCTCCCTCATGGCCCCTTTATCTTCTCCTCCCCTTAGGAGAGGCCCCTCTCGTCCTCCTTCCTGAGGGGAAATGTTCTGGGAAGCTCAGTTACTGACTTACAACCGTTGCGTGCCTGGCTTCTCACCCCCATGACAACAGCCGCTCCCTCGCCTCAGAATGCCGCCCTTGCTTATCCCCCCCCCCACCAGCGTACGCGCGCTCGCACACGCGCGCGCACAGACACACGCACGCACACATACGCACCCCCCCCCCCACGTTCAGCCGTTGTCCTCAGAGACTTCTGAATGGAGCATCTATCTAATTCTTAGTAAAAGAAAACGGCGGGGGTGGCATGGCTATTTAGACATCCGGCGTAGCATAACAAGTATTACAAATCCTGTGTATGTGTAATTTGGGGCGGGGAAGGCGAGACTGAAGACCCTGGTCTCTCTCAGTACCATCAAGCAATCACGACTTTTTAAGATATTGACACACCTTGTATTTCCAGCCAGGGCGCTCTGTGTATGTTTACAGTTTTATAAACGTGGCTGGCTCAGTAGCTGTAATTGCACAGAATTACGGAGAAAGAGTAGTAATGTTGTTATTAACCCCCCCCCCCCCCCTGCCCACTTAATGTCTCCATCTTCATTATGTAAGGAGGAGGTGGAGATAGATGAGGGGGAGAATTGAAACTCTTACGTTACTTCCTTTTTTTTTTCATACTATCAGAGACTTGGAAGAGGGCTTATGTGGACCCCAAACAGCAGACCTGGTTAAATAAAGATTTGAGGAAAAGCTTTCTTGAGAAAGTGAAAGAGCATTTCATTTTTCATTCAAAACCACCCTTTGCTAAAGTGATTTATTTAAGAATTCTCAGACATAACTGCTGTCTCAACATGTTTTCTAGTTTCATATTTTTTAGTAGGTATGTTGTCATATAATACTTCTGACTTTGATCTTTTTTGAGTTGTAACTTGGTTTAAACACTGGTCTCTTTTTGTTTTGAAGGTTGAGAATGAAAAGTTGACAAATATTTTTGCAAAGTACAGTTATCATTCCTCCAAACAGTTAACAATATATTCCTAACATTTATAGGGCATTTACAAAGGAATGTTTAAATTTGGTCTCATTTTACTTTGCAGGTTCATATAAATTTCTCTCAAAAGTGGGAGGGAATGCATTTTTTCTTACATTTAAATCCCAGGTTTTCTTCTAAGGAGCGCAAAGCAAAACACATCTTCCTCATAGTCCCTTGGTCTGCAGAAAGTATATCATGGAGGTGTTTCCTATCTCCAAAAGAAAGAGAGAGAAACCAGCAGTTTCCCAACATTATATACTCTGCCAAAACAATCATTGGAACCTTCCCTAGAAATGTCCTAATGCCTAAAAAGAGGAAACTCTTAATCCACTGGAAAGTTTTCCTGCACAAGCATCATTGGAATTACTAGCAAGAAGAAAACATAGTAGTAGAGGAGATGGGAGGACAGCACACTAACCTTCTAAAGCTACTCTCAGTAATTAGAAGGGAAAAACTCTCAGTGAAATTTGTCAGAAATGTGCAAATAAACCTGTGGATTATATTGGCTACAAATAAAACAGTGCCTAAATTAAGATTCACCAGCTAGGTTCTCTCTTCCCACTGCACCCCTTCATTTGGTAGATAGAGTATAAAACCATGTATTATAGGTATAATCAAAAGTAAAACTGAAACATTTAATGTAATATATAATATTTTAACCTACACCTAGATGAATCCTTCTTTGAAGCATCTTTTCAGAAATCCTTCCAAAGGGCAAAATTAAGCAAGACTGCTCTAATATGCATTGTAAATCCTTACCATGCTACTGAATTGAGCTCATTCTGTCTGCTCTGTCATTTTATGTCCTGTGACAAACTTTTTATTTTTGGAAGATGGAATTAAATGTACAACTTTAACATAATAGCTGTATTAAGTTAGAAAAAGCCCGTCACCTTGTTCTGCAACCTTTCTCTGATAGTAATCAAATGTGCATCCTTCAGGAAGGTAGTACAAAATGCAGGATTAGAAGGATATATTTTAGATCTATTTAATGTATCAAAATAGAGTTTTGCTACAGATTTTACAGGGATGTAAACTATCTTCAGAGAGTACTATTTTATGTAAGGGCATTTTTCACTAATCTCTAGACTATAAAAAAGTGTCCAGAAGCAGAGGAAGGGTTAAAGCAGATAAGTCGTAAGACATTTGGAGTGGAAATCAATTTGTGAGGACTAGGCATTCTTCCATCCTGCAATTTTTATGTTGTGAAGTGCCCCTTTTTTGAGGGTGCCTTACAAGATAAAAAGAACTGTAGAAGAACTAGTATTATATATGGTTGTGTAGTCAAGGGTATTCTTGGCCCTAAAAGATTAGGAGAAATTTATGTTGCAAGGATAGATACTTTGAGTTATTTATATCTACTGCTAAAGTGTGTTCCTCTCTTTTAAACAATTGACATTGCAACTTTCAGCAAGAGAGAATTCCAAAAATCAATTTAAGTGCCTTTTTTGGAATGGAAATACTTTTTCTTGCAATTGCCCTTTAAACATTTTTGTGAAACTTCAACAGGTGCTGCTTTCTGATTCTGGAATCGCATGAAACATTGAACAACTTATTTGTTTTGTTTTTTGTTTAGCAGCCCATTTAATTTGTCTCAGTCATATTCCCTGTAATGGCAGAATCTGAGTCCCCATAGACACAAAAGGTTATAGAACTGACCGTGTACTTAAGTAACCTAAGATACATGCAAGATGGTCTTATCCACAACCATCTTGGCAGCACTAGTAGGGAGGACCCTAGTCTGTTGTCATCTCAACTAGAATGAAGGGGAAACCAATGCAACTCAATGATGCTCTTCCTAAGTAGTACATACTCAGAGACAATTACATTTTTGTTTGTGGTGTGGATAAAGGAGGTCCATAAGTTTATGCTGACTGGCAGCAACCTTAAGTAGACTTATTTTGAATTGGAAATATGACACTGTGTTATGCTGTTATGTAACATAACATACTGACATCTTGTTTGGATAGTGAGTTTTAACTTCTCTCTGAGGTGAACCTGGAAGCTCTGTCATGTCACCTTTATAAGTGTCTTCTTTCAAGTAGCCATGCATTCTCCTTGCAATGGTCTAGCCTTACCTTCTTCCTGTAAGTCTATCTGGTTGAGCCTAGAACTATTTGCAGCATTTCTCCCCAGTCACCATTTTCTTCCTTTGCTTCTTTCCTTCACCTCTGTGCAATGTCTGGTACCCTCTTCTCAGAGAATCTTCCTCAGTTATGCACAAATATATTTAATTGAAATCATTTGCATTTACATAGATATGAATGTTCTCAACATAAATATAACTAGAACTTGGATCTCAGTAATGGAATCAGTGTAAGCCATGGAACACTACTGTTAGTAAGAATTCTGTGATAACTTGAAGAATTACAACTATACTATGGCTTACATGCACATTATAAAGACTCTGGTTTTTAACTGTTGCTTTAAGAGATGGGAATACTTGCTGCAGATTTGCTTGTAACTGTTTTTTCAGCCTCAAAGCCTCCAGTTCCATTTATAGGATCAAATGAATCAGGCTATGATCCATGAATTTTCATGCTAATTTTTTATAATATCTGAACAACTAAGGGAACAATCCTGTGGCCCCTAGACAGGGGCCATAGGATAGTTCAGATTTCAAGATCCAAGGTTGGAAATGGTGCTGTGACCTTGAAGCTGGAAATTAGAGCCCTGTTCCCACCCCCACCCCCCGGCCGCATTCTCCACCCCATGCCCCCTCCTGTCTACTCATAGCTGGTGTGGAAAGAATCCTGCCAGCTACCAGGAAAACAACTTTGGAGAGAGGGAAAAGGGGATATTTCAGAGGAGAGGAGGAAACCGGAATGGTATCCTATAGCTGCATCAGTCTCCTTCCTTCCCTCCCCCTCCCAACATGTTCCAGCTAGACTGGTGAAAAAGCAGATCTAGAGGAAAATGTATTGCTAAGATCATTTCCATTGCCCCTTTCTGTATAGGATGCTCATAAGACTCAAAGTTGAGGGACTTACAGGGATCACAACTGATTGCGCCTTTAAAACAGTCTGTATTTAGCTCCTAAATATAAGCTCTTTTATTCATTTATTTATTTTCCAATTTATATCCTGCCTTTTTCCTACAAAGGGCTCAAGGCAGCTTACATCATTCTCCTCCTCCCCTGTGAGGTAGGTTGGGCTGAGAGTCTGTGACTGGCCCAAAGTCACCCAATTGGTTCCATGGCTGAGTGGGGACTAGAACCCAGATCGTCTGAGTCCCAGTTCCATGCTCTTAACCACTACAGCACACTGGCTCTTTTGTGGACCAGAGCCTACTTCATGCAATGCGGTTGTACTTCATGCATTTTTCCCTCTGAAGGCTCATGCCACAATACATTTGTCAGTTTTCAGGATACCATAGGACTCCTGTTGCAGCAAAAACAAACACAGCTTTTTTAGCCTTTTGAGGATAATAAGTGAAAGCAACATATTTTGTTAACAGGAGGTAACAATTCTAGTCACAATGTTCAGGCAGTCATATGCTGTAGTGTTAATAGACTTATCTGTTACTACTACAGGCAGACCCCAGGTTATGAACAGGTTCTATTCCTGAGATATTTACAGTGTCAGGATACAAATAAATACATAAATAAAACCAGAAATTCATCTTTAAGTAAAATTTGAATGTATGTTGGGCCATGTATCAGTTATGTAAGTTGAATCAGTCAGCCACCCACAATTGCTGGGGCTAGGGGTGCAGAACCTCTGTGAAAATGGAATTACTGCAAATATCTCTAGCCATCCATCCACCCAAACTCAGCACCTCTTCTTTGCAGCAAAGGAATGCTAGAGAGATTTTCCTCTCTGGATAGGCGCAGCAGGAAAGTATGCTTTGGAGGTCTCCCTTTCTCCCCTTCCTCTTTCTGTGTTTATGCTTTGGAGGACTTCCCTCTCTCCCTTTTTGTTAACTATCCCTTTGGTGATGACAATTTTCTGC